AACTTGTATCTTGTCATTTTAAGGTTTAGAGAACCATTTTTTTGAAGTTTTTGACATAATTTTGGAATGATCGGAGCCAACAAAGTCTCAACAACTAATTTCAAATAAATTTGAAAAGTCTGGGAAGGGGAAAATTTATGATTGAGGAGTTTTTGCTTGGTTTATGAATTAGAGTGGGGATTATATTAATGTCCGAAGAGTGATCGCGTCTAATATTTTTTACAAATTCAGGAGTTTTGAAGATTTAAAATATATTTTCGGACGTAGTTTGCAATTTGCATCGTCATCCAAAAATATGGGACAAATGATATGACTCTAAAAAAATAATATGATATGCATGAATCTCAAGTAATATTTTGAGTGGTATCTTTGAAAATTTAAAATAAGATCATATGAACTCTAAATTTGACATGGTTATAGTCAAATCGAGTGGCTCGATGAGAGGAATCCAACGAGCTCAAGATCACTCAATTCAGACATCATTGACACTTCAAAGCTGAAAGGTGTCAGGCGGTGGTCTAGCGGAATTCCGGCTTTAGGCGGTGGTTTGGCGGAAGTCCGGTGTCAAGCTATGGTCCGACAGAAGTCTGGCGTCAGGCGGTGGTCCGACAGAAGTCCGACGTCAAGCGGTGGTCCGGCGGAAATCTAGGTGGTGGTTGAGGAGGAGCTAGTGGCAAGAGCGATCTACGATATCTCTTCTTGCTTCCTTGCTTAGGGTCCCCTTTTCTTGAGAAATAAATGGTCTATTTATATATTTCCTAGAATGACATGGCTAGTAAATATCATGAAGATCAATGGTAAGTTGGGAGTGGTTTTCATGGACGAGCGATGTTGATTCCCTTGATCGTGGACCGTTCATCTTGGGCTCGTTGGATTTGTCTCGTCGAGCCGCTCAATTCGACCATAAGAATATGACGTTTGGTAATCCAAATTGTGATTTGAACTTTGAACCTTCCAATAACACTTCAGGTCCTTGATTTGGACCCATTTGGGCTCGTATTGAGTCGAATTTGATGTCGTTGGGTTCATATTTTCGAGACGTTCAATTCGACTATACGCTTGCTGAAATTGGAGTCTGGCTGGTTCCAATTATAATTTCGGAACTTTCCAACTTGATTTTGCCTTGAGATTCGTATCCGATCAAAATAAATTACTGATAACAAATCAAGTATCTTTCTCAACTTTGCTCTATATTGAGCCAAATAAAATCAAATTTCATGAATCTTACTGATGTGCCACAAGGATGGTTTTCCTTGCAGATTAAATTTACATATATACGTTAGAATATAGGGGTTTTTACATGTATAACACTTAAAACTATCATATTTACCTATTAAACACATAAGGTTACCTATTTACTAATATACCACCTCAAAACCTTAACTTAATAAAAAAAACCACTCAGTTCGTTCCCGTTCGCTCCCGTCATAGCAGACGTCGCAACTCCGCCCTCTCCGCCCTCTCCGACCTCGTTCCTCTCTGACCTCGTTCACCTAAACCCTAAATGTTTTTATAGCACTGAATATCAGCGACTTCCAATGCAGACAAGCATCATTGCGCCATGGCTTCGTGCAAGCCCTACGGGCCACTGTGAAGCAGCAGCAGCAGACAAAAGTTGGCAGCATTAGGGCCGAAGGATTTCTGTCTGTTCTTCCACCAGTGCATTACTCTTCTTCATCGCGTGAGATCGAAGGTAATCATCTCTATCACTTAGGTTAAGCTTTTGGGGTAATTGGTGTTCATTTCTGAGGCAATTCGATTTGCCAAGTTTGGGTTTTGAGTGATCATTGGAAGTAAAAATGGGGTTTTGGTTGGAACTGCGTTGCATTGCGGCTTTACTGTTTTTGTTTTGGTGGAATGCTAGCTTTTTCTTTGTTGATTTCTTCAGCTTGCTTTGTTTTATTCTTGATATTTGGCATTTTCTTAGCCTTTTCTGCTTTTTGGTTTTGGGTTTATAAGATTTGCGCGAGTTCACTTTCCTCTTCGTTGCTTCCCTGTATAAAAGTTGAAGATTAGGGGTGTTTGAAGGCTGAGCTCAACCTCCATTGAGGTAATTTTGCCATGCTTGGGTTCGAAGGTAGGCCTGTTGCTTGATTTGGGAGGATCTCTTGTGTATTGCGCTTGATTTTTTAATTGCAAGGGCGTTATATGTGCCCTCCTGAAGCAGAATTGTTCTTGTTCTTGGGAAGTTGCGATCTGCTATGACGGGAGCGAACGGAACGAACGGAGTGGTTTTTTTGATTAAGTTAAAGGTTTTCAGGTGGTATATTAGTAAATAGGTAACTTTAGGTGTTTAATAGGTAAATATGATAGTTTTAAGTGTTATACATGTAAAAACCCCTTATTATTATTGTATTATTCTGCTGCTCCTGCCATTGGATTGTTACTATTATTGCTATAGATACTGATACTATTGATTCACTGTACTGATATTAAGCATGTGATGTGTTAAGCACGTGATATAAAATGTCTGGATAACATGTGCATATTTTTTAGATGATTTTATTATATTGATTTGATTTTAACAATCATTATTAATATTTTGATTTGATATTTTATATGATTTTTATACTTATTGGTATTATATGTACCATGATTGTTTTATAGATTTGATACTCGTATTGGTTTACTACTTTACTAGCTTCTATATTGTAGTATTTTACTGTTTATAGATTCTACTAATATATGTGAATTTTATTATTTCTACACTGATTCAATAATCATATAAATGTAATTGCTATGCTTTTAATGTTGACATGCATATTACTCCTTTATTGAGCTTTGAATTTCTTTGTGCATATTACTCCTTTATCGAGCTTTGAATTCCGTTGTAAGTTTTGGTGACCTGCTGGATTTTTTAAGCTTATTATATGTAGTTAAATGATTTTAGGTTAGGGCAATGAAGTAGGAGTGTTAGGCTAGTCAAGATTCCTTAGGTTTTGTTTTTTGTTTTTTTTTTTTTTTGTTATAATTATTCTTTTGTACTCAAGATAGAATAGTTATGATTTGATTGTGTAGATTTTTAATAGTGTACATAATTTTTGGAAATGAATATAGATGTGTACATTGATGTTTTGAATTATATAATTTATTTTGTTATTTATTACTGATAGATGATATTAGATAGCTATGATTGTTATTTTTTTTAAAGATTAATGAATAATTCTTCCAATTTAAATTCTGGGGCATCACATCACCTACCATAGACTCTACTACTGGCAATCTACCCATGCTTCCACATTACTACCTGCGCTACCCAGCTACTTGGTTGGCTGCCTGCGCTACCCGGTTGCCGGTGTACCTTTTTTTAGAAATGGCACCGGTTGGCGCCTTAATAGGGCACCATTAATTGGTGCCCCCTCTTCTAATAATTTTTTGTTTATTCTCCTATTATCTACTTTTTTTTATATTAGAGGCTTTTCATTGTGTTGTTTCAAGCTCAAGTGCTCCTCTTTATATAGAAGGAGTAGTATTTGTCTTTCTTCTTCTTCTTACATTAAAGGCATCCCGCTGTCTTGGATTAAAGCTCCAGTGCCCCTGTAAAAAAAGTCCCAATGAGTGATCATTCTCCTCTCAAACTACTCATATCAAAAGAAGATCAATCTCCCCCTATACAAAATGATGATTTAAATAGATTCTACAAGGTAGCAAGGGTTGATGATATGATGTCTACAATAACTGGTAATTCTTTGATCATATTTTGCAAGATGTTCCATTTTTACAACAATCTTGTTGTAAAAACTCCTAAAAAATCTGATCGAGTATGCTTTCCTACATTGATAGATTAAACCATTTATGTAATGAGTTTACAAGCAGGCTTATTATTCCCTCCTGCTCCTGAATTAATCGATATTTAAACATCATACGGAGTCAACTTATCCGAATTT